CCTGATTTCCAATCGATTTAGTTTCCTTTCTTCAAATTCGAAGCATAGAATTGACTTGGATAGTAATGAATTTGCCATTTCTTGAAGGTCAAGCATTACCAATTGCCCTATATTTCTTCACTACATGTTTCTGTTCTCTTGAAAAATAGAAAGACTATATGAAATTTTTTATGGGAGTTATTGAGTTGGAGAAGAATCAAACACACAACTTACTGTGGGTTTTAAGCCTCCATAAATTATTCCAGTTGGATAAAATCGTTTTAGTCTGGTGCCCTTGCACAAGCTCTCTACCCAAGTTGTCCCAATACCTGTTTGAGAGATTGACAAGAAGAAACTAATGATTCTCCCAAATCTTTTGATAGTAGGCCTCACTACGTTCGTACAATAAAAGTTAAGGATAGTGCCCTTGTCTTAGTTTGCTAATACATTGCATAATTAGTCATTGAGTGTCATCTATCATATCCAAGTGTGCAAATATTTGATCAATTCCATCATCAATTCCTCATTACTCATATGTTCTTCTATATTTCATGAATTTCCTACTAGTGTTGTTACCCCCTTGGCATTTGCTGGAAAGGGGGGGTATAAAGATTGTTGATTTTATTGTTTGATGTTAATGCAACATGTGTCAGTACGAAGTTTGTTAGTGCATTTATTCTTGGGCGCCAATGGTGCATGTAAAGTAGATAAACAAATAAATGTTACCCATTTACTACTTAATTGTGGTGATACTATTTGTGTGTTTTTGTTTTTGGGTTAAATTGGCTGGGTGTGTTCACACTTGATTGCACCACGTAGGGCTCCACCTGTGACGTTTCCTCGTACCAATGATAAATATGAGAAAATTACTCTCCCTGAGGATGTTTACGTGAAGAAATTCAATCAGATGTACCCTGAAGCTCTATATGACGAAGCTAATAGGTACTCCTTTTCCTCTTTTTGTAGATCAGTTTCATATTTATAATAGTTTGGTTATCATTTATGATCTTAGTTTAGTCTTGAGTATTAACACAAGGTGTACATTGACACGCACATGCTTAAAACGAATTTTATACCAATTGAGTCTGAGAATTTCTCATGTTTATAAATGCCAACTTGGTATTACTTTTATGGGTATCACAAATTTGACTGAGATTATTGCATATCAAGTGTTACTTTAGTTCTACTTTGACATTTACATATGCTTACTTTGTGGAAAGCATTGACTGTGTTCTCAATCCTCTACAGATTTAGTGGATTTGATCCCCCTCCAGCTCGAGTGTTTGGTTGGCGTGTGCTTTAGTTGAAACAACAGGGAGTCGGCGAGGATGAAGCCATGGCTATGGCTAATGTATGTATTACATCTCCTAAACCGATACCTTCTTTTGTTTTCTTGATTGGTTAAAAAATGGGCCATTTTATCTGCATCAAGCTAGGATTTAAACCCAATGCCACTGTGCTGTGGGCCTTATACCCTAATCACTAACCCATATCTTGATGTTTTATCTGCTTATATTCTTGCATTTGTGTTGTCCTTATAACATCTACTTACTGGGGGATGTTGATCACATGTTTGCTATGCTTTCTGTAACAAGGAGTCATCTTTCTTCATTGAATAATGGATTGTGAACTAGTTAACTTTTCTGCTTCTGACCTGACAAGTTATAGCCTTTGAACCTGTTTGAATCCCAGTTTGGGATGTTCCCTTTAGGCTTCAGAGATGTGATGCTGTTAACATTTAGTACCTAATACACAGACTTGAGATGCTGCCTTCGTAGAGCTCTTAGGTTGAATGGGTGATAAAGAACTACTTGGCAATGAAACACCACACTCCAAACAATGATTGCATGAATTATACAAATGATATGACAATAATCCTGTTCATATTCATGCTTTTCGATTCCAGCAGAATATCATGCAGAGCTATGATATTACCAAGTTAATATCACTAGACGAGCATATAAGACACCGCTTAGTAGGTTGGAATTAAGGGTCATTTACCCCCTCAAAAGAAATAAAAGGTTAGGATTGAGAACACATCGGTCCAATCTATGAAGAACAACAAATTCAAAGGAATATTACTACGATCATAAGGTGTAGCTCTGAGATGCTTGATTCCCCCCAAAGCAGCATGACCCCTCCACTGGAACCCCATGACACCTGCGTGATTCTTGCCCGTCCCTATTATAGCCAACCATACTCCATAGCTATCACTTAAATGTCGGTGGAAATGGAGAACCCATTCTGGAGCCTCTCCGAAAACATACCTCAGAGTTTTCAAAAGAATACCTTGTCCAACTCCTAACCCAGCTATATGAGAACTAGAGTCACCTATTAGACTAAACAAAACCCCAAGGAATGTTGACTCAAGTTCTTATTCCATCATTCCCATCCCATTCCCAGTATCACAGATCCCAGACCTCTGGATATCACATCAAACAATATTTTGGTTTTTAACTCTTGTGGACCTACTTGTGTGAGGAAATCATCATACACCACAACACCAAATGATCCCTGCATCCTACAAGTTATACCAATAAGTCTGAATCTCATACAATTGGTCAAACCACCACCATCTTCTTACTATTCCCCCCACCATAATAAACCACCACGAGAACATCCCCTGCCCTCCCTCCATCCCACCTGCCATCTTCTTACTCATCCCCCACTGTAATAAACCACTACGAGACAACCCCTGCCCCACTCCAACCCTGCCCCCTCTGCATTCAAAGGCATTACAAAGTGGGGTAAACTAAAGTGGATTCCTTTGAACTATACTGCTGACCAGTGCCAGTGGTTGGTATTTTATTCTCCTTCCCAACTGAATGGCTAGCCAGTAGCTCAGATTTCAACTTCACAGGTTTTAAAAATATCCTGCCCCTTGGAGGTCTGTGCTAGATGCCTTAAAGAGGAGGAAAATTTCCATTAAGGTCAAAGGAATACCAGTACATGCTTGGCATCTAGAAAGTTTTTGACAGATTGGAAATCTCTGCAGGTTTTTCTAAGATTAGCCGGAATTCCTTTTCCAGAAATGCTAGTAGAGCTCATTGATATGGGTAGACTAGAACTCATCCCAGAAACAATGATTATTCCAGTGGTCCAAAAGTCCTATTTGCTGCACATTAACCATGAATTCCAGAGAGGGAGGGAGCCCTTTGGATGGAACGTGGAATAGAGTCACCATTGGAGGGGGCATGAAAGTTGGGTGCACACAGATAGGGACCAAACTTCTCGAAAGAGATATTGCATGGTGAAAGGACAGTTGGCAAACTGTAGTTCCCAGATGCAATTGATGATTAAATTTCAGGAAACAAAATTTTGACGTTAGCTTTTCTGGTCGAAAGATTAATGATGGATGTGTAACAGGTG